GACCTCACGTGCACTGATGGCATAGCGGCACGGAACAAAGCGTGCACGCTTCGTGAAGCGGTCGACGACGACCAGGATAGCATCATGACCGCGGGGGGTCGGAGGTCGAAGAGGACCGATAAAGTCCATCGAGATGGACTGCCAACGACCCTCAGGGATAGGAAGAGGCAGGAGCAAACCATAAGGTAGGTGGTTCGCACTGTTCACCTCCTGACAGGTGGGACACTCTGCGACGTAGTCCTTCACAAAGTCCTTGCGCTTCGGCCCGATGTACAGGCGGCTCACACGAGCCAATGTCTTGTGGAAGCCCATATGACCGGCGACTGCCTGGTCATGGAACTCTGCTACTGCTCAGACACGTAGCTGTCCAGTGGAGGGAACACAAATACGGGGCTCTCTGGTGCTCTATGAACCGTGCCAGTACACAAGACTGTTGTCCCTGAGAGAGTAGTCCGGGACGGTCTTGCCACTCGGAAGGGTCACGTGGATGTCGCGATAGTCGGGGCAGTGGCGGTACTGAGTGCAAAACTCGTAGATCACCGAGTGGTGGACGATGTTGACCGAGATGGAAGAGAGCTGGATGTGCTCCTGGTCCTGGTCAGGGCGTCGGGATAGGGCATCTGCGACCCGATTAGTCTCACCCTTGATGTGCTCAGTGGTGAAACTAAACTYGGATAGGTCGCGCCACCAGCGAGCCTGTCGAGGAGTGAGCTTCGGCTTTGTCAAAAAAGCCTGGACAACAGAGTTGTCTGTGCGCATCGTGAATGGTGCCCCGTGTAGGTAGTGACGCCAGTGCCGAGCGGCATGAACTACGGCGAGAACCTCACGTTCATCAGCAGTGTAGTTTATCTTGGCGGGCAAGAGCTGACGGGAGTAGAAGGCTATCGGACAATCACCTGAGCAAGACTCGACAGTGCCGTCCTCGGCGATGGTAGGAGAATAGTCAATAGAAGGCTCGTCAGTAGCTGGACGAGTAGGCGTCAGTCGGGAAGCAGTGGTAGGGTTAGGTAGTGGGAAGCGAGGGATACGATGATGAGAGGAATCAGGAGATGAGGGGAAGACCTGAGAAAGCACTGCTCCTACAGCGAAGTCTGACGCATCGGTGGTAAGGATAAAAGGGCGGTCAAAATCGGGTAGGTGAAGAACAGGTGCGCATGTCACCGCCTTCTTGAGGGCGCGGAAGGCGTCCTCGTGGAGGGGTGTCCAAGCCCAGGGTGGATTCTTCCGGAGGAGGGTGGAGGTAAGGACATAGGAAGACTTAGCGTATCGCCGGATGAAGTTTCTATAGTAGCTGGTCAGGCCTCGGAAGCTGCGAAGCTGCTTGGCAGATGTGCGTCGTCCATATGGAGACCCTGGTCAGACACGTAGTGTCCTAAGAAATCCACTTTGTGCTGGGCAAAGCCGCACTTGCTTAGCTTGGCGTAGAAGCCATGTCTGCGCAAACGGTCAAGGACGTCGCGGAGGTGTCTGAGGTTCTCCTCAAGGGTACGACTATAGACTAGGATATCGTCGAGGTAGACAAGAACGTACTGCTCCAGGATGTCCCTGAAGATGTCATTCATCGCCCTCTGGAAGGTAGCGGGTGCGTTGGTGAGGCCGAATGGCATCACCGTAAACTCGTAGTGGCCAAATCGCGATCGGAACACGGTATTCGGCTGGTCGGCTGCAGCGACGCGGATCTGATGGTAACCGCTACGAAGATCAATCTTTGTAAAGAAGCGGTTGCCTGCTAGGCGGTCGAACAACTCATCGGAACGAGGCATGGGGTAACTGTTCTTAACCGTGTAGCGGTTGAGACCGCGGTAGTCGATGTAGAGACGAAGAGTTACATCCGCTTTGCGAGCAAAGAGGACGGGTGCACCCCACGGGGAGTTCCTGGGTTTAATGAAACCCAGTCTCAGGAGCTCCTCAAGCTGACGCTTGAGTTCGGTGGCCTCGGGGATCGAGAGTCTGTAGGGTGCCTGGTGGTGAACACGATAGTCTGGCACGAGCTGAATGGAGTGCTCGACGTCATGCATCGATAAGATGCCGGCGTACAAAAACGACGATGGGAAAACGTCGTGGTACTCTCGGATGAGATCACGAACTGCGGGCTCCAAGTCAGCCGTATATCGTGCGAGTTCCTCAGCGTCAGCGTCAGCGCGYGACGGCGGGGTGGACTCGACGGACGACGGAGGGACGGAAGTAGAGATGGGAGCCATGGAGATAGAGGGAGGATGTGGCTCCAGAGGGATAAGCTCGGCGTCGGGACAGGGTGGATCGTAGTGTAAGAGATCCGTCACATCTACCATAGAGAAGGTGACGTCGTCCTGTCGAATGAAGTGAGCGAACTGCCGAGGCGAGGTGACAGTGATAGAGGGAGATAGTGTGGGCACTGAAGGCTCCGGGGGAGGAGGATCGGGGCGTGGTGTCGCCGTGGTACCTATGAAAGGTACGCGATACGTCTGTCCACACTTCATTTTGAGAACGAAAGTGTTGGTCGCCCAATCGGCCTCGGTGCTGCGGAACCGACGAGACCATGGAGTGCCGAGAATGAAGTCGTACCCCATCTCCATCACATCGAAATGTGCAGAGGAGCGGTGGCGACGAGACATCGGGGAACGATCAGTCGGCTCGAGAGTGAGGAAGAAGGGGAGGTCGGTGACCATCTGATCGAAGAAGCGCTGGGTCTTGTCATCCCTTAGGGTAATGGAGATGGAAGTCGGAGACCCTGTCGTGGGTAAGCGGGCTTCCTTCACCACGCGTGGGTGAATGAAGTCGCCTTGAAAACCGGAATCCCACAGCGCTGAGTGATGATAGGGAGGGTGCGATCAGGGTCAGAGAGGATGGCGAGAAGGCGACGCAGTGCAGCGACATGGAGGGTGAGTCGCTCCTGACGAGCCTGGAGCATGCTCAAGTCCCGAAGAGAGGACACAACGTCCTCGCGAGTAGCAAGCTGCTCGCTGCAACAGGCTGAGCAAATGGCTCGACGCGTTGGTAGTCGCGGCGGGGRAGGAGGGGAGACGGTGGTCTGCGGAGGCGCAGACGGTACTGCGACAGAGGGCTGAGTACACTCTGTCGAGTCTTGCTATACCTCAACTCTAGTAGCGAGAGGGGCGTACCACGTCAGAGATGTCGGGAAACCCAGTACTGAGGAGGGCGCAGGTGTACACTGCACCGTGGCTAGGAGGCGCCGCGGGGACGTGAGGCGCCGGGGGGGGACTGAGCACGACGTTGACGAGAAAGGTCAGCGTAGTGGCGGTCGAGGGCGGTAGTGTAAGGGCACCGCGAGGAGGTATGACCGTCCAAGCTGCAACACAAACACCCACGCCGGCCCACAATAGCCGCGCGCTCCTTAGGGGAAAGGACACCACGAGGAGGGACGAAGCCCTGAGGGAGGTCCTCCTGAGGGACCTCGGGGAGCGATGCGCCAGCGTGACCGGGGCGGCTGCGTGCCCGAGAGAGGGCAGAGAGCGCGAGCTGAAGGCGCTCARCTGCAGGGAGGGTAGAGTCCTCCAAGTGATAGTGGACGGCCTCGCAGAGATCGAGGTCGTCGCTGTGGTCGCCCTCAGATGACAGTGGGGCAACAGCGTTCTGCTCACCATACTCCAGCGCGCTGAAGCGGCGCGAGAAGTGGTGGCCCTGCTGCGTGGAACGGCGGGGGCGACCGCGGAAAGGGGAACGGCATTGGGAAGTGCCGTAAGAGGAGGAGGAGGCATAGCCCGTGCGTTGGGGCTTGGAGGAGGAGGCGGGGTGAAAACGGGCTCGCATCCGCTGGTGGTCCCTGGCGGCCTCATAAGCCTGTGGGGCCGATGTGAACTCGTACCGCCATAGCTCGAGAGGTACTCGAGCGAAAGGCTGGCCAATAAACGATCGATAAGGGCAGCCTCAGGGAGGAACGCCACGTCGCAAACGAGGCGGGCGTCCTGAAAGATCTGGATGTGGCGATCCAGGCCGGCAGCGCCACCAGAGCCGGAACAGCGTGTAGTAACGACACGCTCGAAGGCGTCAGTCACGTCGTATCGGGCTCCGAAGCGATCCTCGAGGAACGCCTGGAAATCCACGAAGGTCGGAGTCCGACCCTCACGAAGGGAGTAGGCATAGAAATCCTCCCAGGCCTCGAAAGGACCGCCACGCACGCGCGTGGAGAGGTGACCCACCCACGTCTCGGGTGTAGCGCCCATGAGCTGGAGTGTGCGGGTGGCAGACTGCAGCCACCGAGACACGCGTATGCCTGTACCGTCATACAAGGCAATGTCCGACAAACGGATGATTGGTGCGCCACCGTTTTGGCGGCGAGGGGATCGAGGAGCGGAGGCCTGTGCCACGGCTGAGTAAGTCCGCGCTAGTCCTGGAGAAAGGGGCGCAGCTGACTGTGCGCCCGGGCCGCATGGGGGAGCGGCGGTGGCAACAGCGGCAAGCTGCGAGGGTGTTGCGGTAGAAGAGGTCGCAGCAACCGCGGGAGTAGGAAGAAGGTAGGAAGGAGTTGTATAGGGTGCAGGGCGCGGAAAGCGAGCCTGCATGGGAGGAAAGGTAGAGGAGGTAGGGGTGCGCCCGAAGGCGCGGCCACCCGTGAGGGTGGGGGTGGCTGAAGGCGTAAGAGGGCGAGGTTGGCCCGGAGCAATGCAATCTCGTCCTCGAGACCTYGAACGTAGGTCGTGCGAGGGGTAGCAGAGGGAAGAGCTGAGGAAGTGGATGCACAAGTGGCGCGGGGCATCCCAGAGGGGGGAAAGCCAGGTGGCGCTGCGGTCGTGCGAAGGGGGGGGAGGAGCGGGGCAACCGGAAACGCTGAGACCATGGTAACGGGTTGTCGTCCCGTGGCCGTCGTAACCAGAATCTGGGCCGGTGCGCCCATAGACTGAGGAAGGGCCTAACTCGTGGCGTCCGTCGAGCTAGGGGCGTGGACGGTCACCAAAATGACCGGGTCGGGAGCGGCAGAGGAGGAAACTCCGCCGTGGCCACCCTGTCGAAGAACTGGAGACCCGGACTGAGAGCCAGGAGAAGAGAGAGGATGAGGAGAGGAAGGACGACCAACGTCCTGGAGTTGCTGCACGCCGGCGGCAAGGGTCGCCACCTGCGCCTGTAAGGGTCCGAGGGTCGCGAGTTGTGCCTGGATGGGCGCGAGGGTCGCGAGTTGCGCCTGGATGGGCGCAAGGAGGGAGGTGAGGAGGGTGTGTAGATCCCCCTGGGGCTGATGGCCCTGGTCCGCCGGCACGGGTGTGGAGCCCGATGTCGTGGTCATCGCCGTGTCGACGGCGTGTGACGCACCATCGGCCATGGGGAGATGACGGACCGGACTGGAGGGGGTCAAAAGAGGTCCGCGTGAGCGGAGGGCGTAGGGGGAAGTCCGCGGTAGAAAGCGGCGAACGGCGCTAGCAAGGCTAGCACGGTTGCCGTCAAAGGGGGAGGGGTGGTTCGGGTCCAGGGTGCCGGAAGAGGACGGGAAAGTAGGGGGGTTTTGAGGAACCCTAAACCCTACAAAAACCCTAAGAGAACCCTAACCGAGGTTTAAGGCTAGGGTAGGGTATCGGTGACCTAATCAAGAAAGTAAAATAGCAAGCATAGGGGGGGGGG